GTTCCGTATATACTCAAATGTTCGTCCTCGGCACCTTATGCAAACATTGTCAAAATGACAGATTAATGTTACATAAGAACATGAAATTTTATAAAATTCGTAAATTTTGAATTGCTATAACTTTTCATTTTCTTGGTCAATTTTCACAAATCAAATTGCAGTTTATAGAAGCATTTAACAAGCTCGCGGTAAAAAAAAATCAAATGTAACAGACATTGCGAAGTACCCAAAATAATTAAAATAAAAACTAACACCATAAAACGAATGGCACGCATAGACTAATAATTGACGGCTGTACTCGCAACTAGTATCGGATTGTCGATGCCACAGTAAAGATCAAAGGACTGTACGCACGCGCTATGTTCGAGAGCGGAGATGTGCGTCCTTTTGTTGAATTACCTTGTTCCCAGATATTGGGGGAAAGTCGCGTTTGGGGGCGTTTTTCAAAATGGCCGCCTGTTGATTTGGACGCTTGTATCTCGATAACCACTGGTCAGAGAGACTTGATTTTGGTCTCAAATTGTTCACAATATGCACGTTCCTATTTGTTGTAATACAACTTTTTATCAAAAAATGGCGGAAAATGAGGTTTTTAAAAGTTTGACCTTTGACCTTGTAATGTCATATCTCGGTAATTACTGGTCATAGAGACTCACAATTGATTGCAAATTGTTCAGGAGATTCATGTTTATATTCGTCCTAATCAATATATATATATTCAAATAGTGACTGGAAACGATACATTCTGACCTTTGACCTATTGTAGGGTCATTCCATGTCAAATCAACCAGATTAAAAAAGAAATTCCTGTATGTCCGTCTCAGATTTTGATGAAACTCCATAAAAATGATCCACTGTATGCTAAACCAACAAAAAAAAATTAGCCTCATAGGATAAGTAGTTTTCGAGATATTGACGCCTCAAAAATATGGGGCGTGGTTCTTCAAGATGTGCAAACGCAATTTACTTCATATTTGGAAGCTTATAACTCGAGATTGGTAATAGATATCAGCGTCAAACTTGGTATTCTAACTTATTTTTTGCCATGTTTTACAAATATGGCCTTAGATTAACAGTTATCTTTTTCCTTTTGAAGTTATCTGCACTCAACGTAGCCGCTTTGTTTAACGATGCAAATTTTTTTGTGATTTTTGAGGTCACCCTGCGTCTATATGAGTGGGTATATACCCCTCATATTACAGATATATTATCTATGTGTAGTTGTCTATAGCCATATGCAAGCACAGGCTGATCAAATCAGTTGAAATTGAATGGCATATATTCAAAATTGGGACCAGATCTATAAAAGTGAAAAAC